GCTTCGTGTTTTCCATGATCAAGGCTTTCAATCCCTGAAGAGGATATAAGTACTGCAATAGAAGATAAAGGATAAAGGATAAAGCATTTGCCGTTGATCAATCCCTTTTTGGGATGCGGCACGCATTCTACTTCCATTTGTACATTCGTAGTGGCGTTTGAATGCGATGTGGCCTATATACAATGACTTGATTCAACTTCTTTCTATCATAAACATAATAACTTCATTGGGGGCCAGCCGATGTACAAGTCAGTGTTTTTTATCCTCCCAGACAAGTCTGGTACCAATTAACCGACCCCGGAGGGATGGAAGGCTTGGTTGGCCCGGGCGACTCACGACCCAGGATTTGATCCCCGGACCGCTCGCGTGGTAAGCGTGCCACTTGCCACTACACCACTTCCGCCCCGCAATCAGAAGTTATCCAACAAAAATCAACCCCCCCAAGCATTTGTAAATCCATACTCCGAGTCACTGTCTAGTACAAATGTCTCCAAAACTATGGATTCGTGTCAAAGACCAGCACTATCTGCAATGCTTCAATAGGCATGCCGTTTACAGCCGCTACAGCGTACTTCATTTACCAGCAGGGTCAACCGTTACGTTGGACCGATATTGGAGCGACGTTGGACCGATGTTCACCGCTCTCCGCGCCGGCATTCACTCTCGCCACCCGCGAGCCGTCTGTGTCTCCGTGCGTACGTTCACTCTCGGCATTACTCTCGTCGTCGCGTTGGACTTTGTCCAACGGACGGTTGACCCTTACCAGCGCTTTCGATCTTTCGATATTTTTATAAGAAGCCAGCAGCGTCCTCGCACACTCCATTACAGGGCTCCTACGGAAGCTCACTACAAATTCTTCGTTATGGGCACCATTGTGTAGGTAGAGGTCTATGCTGCGGAACTCCAGAAGCTGGCCGAGGCAGCTCGTCAGGAGCCCTCGTACCGCGACAATATTTATTTCTTTCATGACATTGCGAATCACCATGATCCGAAATGAGCCCGGTAAGAAATTCTGGAGCTGCGGCAAGATTTCTTACCTCTCTTAGCGTATTCCCCTGGTCGAGCTATAAATGACTGCCACCTATCCTGGACCTTAAATCATCATCTTGATGACGAAATAATTAGACGATCAACTTCAAAAGTGAAGTCGCCTCCATTTTTGACCCACACTCCGCTGGGTCTTATATGAGGAGCCTAGAGAGATTTGCTGACTTGATTCGCAAACTATGACATCGGCCGTAACGCCCCCCAAAACGTCCGCCCACTACTGGAGATTTGGAAAGTATGATCTCGGCAGATACTTGCTATAAAACGTCACACTCCTCCTTCAATTCATCATTTCGAACTGTATTGTAATATTGTGTTGTAAGGACAACACAAGCGGCAACCACCTCTCGATCGTTGCGCCAGATCGATTTGGTGGGGTAAAAGCGGTCGATAATGAAATTGTGCATGTCGAGTTGACTGCAAATGAGAAAAGAAACCAAGCAAAACGCAACCCCAAACCCCTTTTCCTCCTACAATAATGGGAGGAATCAGTACGCCGAAGGAGCTGTCCGAACTCGCTTGCTCCGCCGGCATTTCTGCCAGCATGGAATGCGGCGGAGCAAGCGAGGCTTCAAGTACATGCATCATTGAAAAAAATACACATGCACCAAAAAAAAACAAAGAAGCACGACAACTGAACGATTCAAGCAATCAAAACCAATCAAAAAATGGCAGTATATCTCCCAACGCGCTACAGTTTACACGCAATCGCGCAAGGAACATGCAGCCTTCCACGCAATCGCGAAATGGATCACCACTGGGAATCTCAACGGCCACAAGTGCCGACTACACATGCGATCTGATTTTGGAGAGTTCCAAGCAGGGTCGGTCCTATCGTTGTTACTTTTTGAAAAATTTTTACGACCCCCCTCCCCCAAGGTGGACTTGATACGACCCCCTTTTCCACACCTCGACCACCATCATCCGTCTATAGTATTTAATTCTGATACCACTCAACCCACCAAACTCCGCCCACTTTTCCTCCACATTTTTTTCCTGCCTCCCCTCAGCTCACCCAGCCTACCCATACCCATAAAAAACCGCAGTTTTCAAACCCTCAAAACTAATAATTGATTTCAAATCGACTGAAACACCCCTGAAACATCCTACAAAACCACAAACCACGGGTACGATGGCCCCCCCCCCCCTCGTTGGTACTCATAGAAACACACGTAGGTTGCACCTGGTTGTGTAGTAATGTTATATATTATGCCACTCCTTGAAACGGCAAATTTTTCTCCCATGCGCTCCCAACTCACCCAGCCTACTACTCGTGAAAACTCCACTTTCACCACAAACTCACATGTACTTTCACGCGACTGAAGCGGATACGACCCCCCCTCCTATAAACTCAACCAGGTACGACCCCCCGTTGTTACTAGTAACAACGTAGGGTTGACCCTGCCCCAGCCCGTATTAGACTCGCGCAAGGAGTTTTGTCATCAACGAAACTTCGTTGGTGTTTGCTTTCGACAAGGGCTCACAACATACTTATCAATTCCTATTAGTTACCGAAATATAGACCCCTTGGTGATGGCTCCAAGCCACCCGTTATGACCTCTATTTGCCTTCTTTGTAGCGTTCAATTCGACAATCACTTGCCTCATCTCAACGGCAAAACTCGACATCTCGATTTCACACCAGTCCCCAACTCGATTCCGGCTCGCTGTCCTCTGAACGATTTTCCTGCCTCTGAACCCTGTTCTCAACAAGTAGTTTTAGCTGTTTATTGACTCACCGTTCATTTAGGAGAACGGCTCCGCCCACCACGCGCCAACCCCGATCCTTATCCCACTTCTGTGCCACAACTTTATACATTTTGTCCCAGTCTTCGGGCTATTCTATAACCGAACACGAAACCTTTGCTGTCCGCACCCGTCCAATTCGGCACATTTCCCGCTTACTGGAGCACCATCAACTCAGCGGAGTTCCCCCCAGCTGATGTGTTTTGTAACCGTGACCAATACCCCACCCAATCCCACTTGACCCCGGACCCTTACCTGTTAACAAGGTAGTATCGAATTCCGTGACAGACGGAGAAACACACAGACAGACAATCGAACAGCGCATTATATATAGTATGGATCGGTATCAACTGAAGACTGTTGCAGCCTTCAAGATCAGGACGGTGTGGAAAGCCCATTGCTTAGTAAAAATAACGGGAACAGGTGTCTGAAGACAATAAAATAAGAAATGATTGAGAATCGTTCATCTATAGTTATTTGAATCGTGTAATACAATGCGAAAGTCCAATGCAGATCGATGTTGGTTCAAGTTGTCAGTTGAATGACCTGAAAAAAAACTCGATTTTATATGCCGTCTAAACTTTGTCATGTAGAACACTTTCCCCAAATCGGATGCACTGGTTATGCCTCGGATAAAATTCCAATCAAATAGCTACACACTACTTGAAAGACAATACTCAATGAACCTTAAGCAAATCTTTACTGCTCAAACCGTTTGTACTCCATACAGTCCGGAGGTCTGACCTCTGTTCGCTTCTTGCGGATCTCTTCCCAGTTCGTAGACAAAACAGTACCGCCAGATTCCCTACAATCAAAAGTGTTAAATAGGTTCAAACTAGACAGAGTAACAATGAAATACGTACTGGTAACTCTTAATCATGGCCTTCTTCACGTCATCCGAAGCTTCATTGTAAAGTTTTCGGAACAAACGATTTACCGCTGCATCACCTTCCAAATCTTCATTTTCTTCTTCCTGTACTACAGTCTGAAAGGAACGCTAATTGAACGAGAGTGGCAGAAATCATATTATTGTCGATAATTATTTTGCCGTGATCACAGGAAAAGATAGCGCGAAATTACTGCAGACCGCAGTTACAAGACTTCTGCATAAAGGAGCAGAAACACTGTCAAAGCAAAACGACTAAAATCACCTACTTTCAATACTAACAAAACAAATTAGAAGGGGAAGCACTGAAAAGGGTGCAGTAATCTTGATGCTGAACCCACCCTTTCGATGGCCTCCCAGTTCTTCGTCGGGTGTGATTGGCTTGGAACTGGCACAGCAGATGATCCATCCAGCATTGGCCAATGTCCTGGTGTGGCTTTGGGCATTCTGACTTCGACCTGGAAGTAAAGCGACTTCCAGAGCATTTCTTCGCTTTTCAGAGTTACTCATAAATTACAAAGTAACCAAATCGATTCCGATAAATAAATTGCATTCGCTGGCACGATTCATAGGATCAGTAGTATCGCGGCATTCTAGGCACTGCATACGAAGCACCCCTAGTAATAAGGGTTCACCTTCGTACGCTATCACTCGGCCTTTTGAGGTCATCACTTCCAAGGAAATCGAACCAGCGTGTGTCCAACAAGAGACTAATTAGTTAACCACTCGGCCACAAGGTAGCCACACTGACACCTGCAGCGTTGATTAACATAACACCACAAGGCCTGTGACTTTTAGCTAGATTACTACAATTCGCCAAAATGTAGTGATTTAATATAACACCACAGAGGACTACGACTTTTAGTAGATTACTACAATTCGCCAAAATGTTTGGAATCGTAGCAACTATTCTAGGATAAATGAAATTCTACGACTCATCAACTGATTGGATCTCCCTGATCTCCCTCAAACGAATCTTCCAAACATCATGTTTTACCTTGGACGGCGTGCAGGTGACGAGATGAATTTTTCTCGTCCACAGGCCTTGCGAGAGTTGTTTCAAAAATCACTTCATCTCCGACGAAAACTTTGATTTCGTTGTCATTGAAAGCGACTCTAAAACATAGGGAACTCCGTCAAAATAGAACTAATATTGTTATTGTTATGCAGGAATCGGTTTGGAACCAATCATACCTTCAAAATACACAAGTTAAAAAAAGCCAAACACGTATCAAGTTAAAAACAAATAGTCTTCCGGCAATCAAAGTGCCTGGCTAGCCTTCGAACATGTGCTTCCAGTTAGAGCAAAATTTGCAATTTCCATGCATAAGAGAACCGGAAAAGAATGGACCTCGGTTTTGCAGCCATTTCGATGCCCAGACGGACACAGAAGCCTGCTGGAAGATGCACACATCGTTACGAACCTATTCTATGCCAGCGTCATATGTTAGGTGAAGAAAAAGGTAAATATATCGCATCGGAAGGTACCAAAAACATTGCACAAGATAAACCCACATTAAGAACTTTTATTAACAATATTTCTTAAATATTGACACCGTAAAAATATTTCTGGAATTAGAGCGAGAGGGGTCACACTAACAAAGAAAAAAAGAGGAGTACATTCAGAATACCAGAAGAGTACAATAAGCTTTCTTGAGAATACTCGTTATTCTGGGGGAAAACAACACAAAGGAACATTCTGCTTAACCAATTGCGGTTACAGAGCTCCGAGGTGATCCTTAACCTGTTGCTTGGTGAGACGTTGAAAACCTTTCGCATTACAAATAGCCACCTGCAAGAAAAGAATTATTGCAAGACAAAAACTCTCGTCAACATTTGCATTACGCTCCCGCAACCCGAGAACATGATACGCGTAAAGTTCCAGGAACCCTGGAATACTTAACACGTTGACGACATCGCGTGTTTTGGCATTTTGCACCGCGTGGGACAGGAGCGATTTTGCGAGCGCGCCGTCCTCACCTTACTTCCGCTTATTTTTTTTTGAAACCACAAAGCTTTGCATTAACTGCTTCTACAATCTTTCATGTGAATGTTTACGACAGTGAAAGGAATACTAGGAAAGAATTGAAATGAAAGTTTTGTGCGTTCAGAAAATCTTTGCTAAATCAAGGGATATTTGACCACTGCCATGTGGTTTATAGTTATGCTAATGTATTATCTATAGAATGAATGCAAAAAACTCGAGAAGAAGGAGCGCAAGCACAATAAAAATGAATGACATAGTTCTGACGCGCATGCGCGTCAGCCTGTCGTCAACGTGTTAAATGCAGTCAGAATATTTCGTGTTAGGTGGTAAAACCTAT